CTCCATTTTTGCCATGTTGGCCTCCGCCGAGTGTCATGGAGGTTCACCAGGAATCCGTGATTACTTGGCTTATTTTCACTGTGTCCCAGCAAGCAGGGTTTTAGACAGGCCTGCATCTCCTCATGCATTTAACAACAAGGAGGAGAAGATAAGCAGGAAGTGGATACAATCTTTTCATCACCCACGCTTGGGAAGGTAAGTGGTAGTGCCTTCCTGGACATGAAGGAGCTGCTTAAACACAGATTGGATTAGCAGACCAGGATTAGAGCCCAGTGGAAGGTATTATATTCTTAGAAACTGCTCTGAAAACTCCTATTGTTTTCATTACAAGACTATACTACACAGGGTCAATAAAATGAAATACTGGGTTAGTCTATTAATAAAATGAGATACAGCTCTGGCCCAGTAGCTCAGTTAGAGCATTGTCTCAATGTGCCAAGGTTTTGTGTTAGATTCCTGATAAAGCAAAGTTGTGGGTTTGACCCCCAATCTGAGCACATACAAGAAACAACCAATGAGTGCATAAATAAGTGAAGCAACAAATCGATGTTTCTCTCTCCCTTCCTCTCTCTCTCTAAAATTAATAAATAAGTTTTAAAAAATAAAATGAAATATCAAATGAAGTGACTACATTTTAATAATACCAAGGAAGTTGAACTGGGCAACAATAGTTTAGTTTAGCAAAACTGTATATATAACTAGATCACCGGAAATGAGAGATTTAACATGTGTTTCATAAGAAATAAGAACTGAAAGTGGTCTATACTCTGTCTCCTCCATCTGGCCAGTGTGGCTCAGTTGGTTGAGTGTTGCCTGGTGCACTGAAGGGTCGCCAGTTATTATTGGTCAAGGCACACGCCTGGGGTTTCGAGTTTGGTCCCTAGTTGGGGTGCGTGCTGGAGGCAACCAATCAATGTTTCTCTCTCCCCCTCTCTCTTCCTCTCTCTCTAAAATCAATAAAAAATATTTAAAAAATAATAAACAAGAAATATTAAAAGGTGACTATAAGACAGAAAAAATAACGTGAGATATGTGAGAAATGTCAGACTTATCTAGACATTTCAAATGAATTGAAATCCCAGGTCTAAATGAATTATAGTCCCAGGATGCTGAAAGAATTTGCATATATGAAATTCCTGTCATAATCTTTGAACAACCAAGGAACACCCGAAGATGACAAAAAAAAAGAAAAAAAAGAAAGAGCTTTCCAATAAAGGGGGAAAAGGTTAATTATGGGATATGCCCACAATAAACTTGAGGCTGACAATTGGCAAAAATTCTAGGAGATACAATTCTGCCATTTACTGGCACTGTGACCTTGGGCATATTTCAAAACTTTTCTGTAAAGATTCAATGAAATAAAATAGAAAGCATTTCATATGCACAGAAAACATGCAGCAAATGGTACCTATTACCAGTTTTGTGTCTACATTTCCAAAAGAAGGTGGCAACAACTAGGTAATGACATGGGTCTTTCAAGGCTAACTTCATTCTTCTGGCCACACAAAGGTGTGTGGAGAAAGTGTTCCTAAAAGGTGTGCAGGAAAGGTCTTCATTTTGAAATGACTCTATAAAAAAATCTCTTATAATATTCTTGTGAAAAGACTGAATTTTAGGAGAATGGTGTTGACTTCTCCATGCCTCAGTTTCCTTATCTGTAGAAGGAACATATCTCTACTTCACTGGGTTGTTATGCAAAAAGCCCGTAGAGCTGCTCAGCAGTAGAGCGTGTGTCTGTGGACTGAAGGGTCCCAGGTTCGATTCCGGTCAAGGGCATGTACATTGGTTGCGGGCACATCCCCAGTAGGAGGTGTGCAAGAGGCAGCTGGTCTCTCATCAAAGTTTCTAGCTCTCTATCTCTCTCCCTTCCTCTCTGTAAAAAAATCAATAAAATATATTTTTTTTAAAAAAAGCCCTTACTTAGAACAGTGCCTGGCATTTAGTCAGCACTATGTAGATGCTTGGTAAATAAACTGCAACAGAATTTCCTAGTGGCATGTTTGTGTAGGACCTGGCTCCAACCTCTTCAACATTTTCATCAGAAAGTTGCTAAAATTTTATACAGTATGGATAATGGTCAAATACTCAGATAATATAAATGTTGGATGATGAAATAAAAATCCACAAAGGCCTTAACTGTATTTCAGGCTAGGGCTATGAAATGAAATGCATGAGATAAAATTAAATCCTAGATAGAGATTTTAAGAAAAAATAATAATTTATTTTTATTTACTTATTTATTTTTTTAAAGTACTAGTCTGACTTGCCAGAACTTTCTGTGGACAAGAAAGGGAAATTTAGTTGATTAAAAGCTCAGTGTGCACCCCTAGCCAGTTTGGCTCAGTCGATAGAGTGTGGGCCTGCAGACTGAAGGATCCCAGGTTCGATTATGGCCAAGGGCACATACCCAGGTTGCCGGCCCAATCCCCAGTGTGGGGCGTGCAAGAGGCAGCTGATCAATGATTCTCTCTCATCCTTGATGTTTCTATCTCTCCCACTCTCTTCCTCTCTGAAATCAATAAAATATATATATTTTTTTATAAAAGAACTTCTCTTTAAAAAAAAAAAAAAAAAGCTCACCATGCATAAAATAGTGTGTCTATTAATTAAAGTGAAGTTTAAGTGTATTAGGAGAACCAGAGTGTCCTGATGAAGACGCAGATGCCAAGAGGGCAGGCACGGTTTGTCCATCATAAACTCTTTTCTCCCCTTCCCCTCCTTAGGTTCCAGGTACATGAATGAGCTCTGGTCCTAGCTGGTTTGGCTCAGTGGTGGATAGAGTGTCAGCCTACGAACTGAAGGGTACCAGGTTCGATTTCGATCAAGGGCACATCTCTGGGTTGCAGGCTGGATTCCCAGTGCATCCAATCAATGGTTCTCTCTCATCATTGATGTGTCTCTCTCTCTCTCTTTCTCTCTCTCTCTCTCTCTCTCTCTCTCTCTCTCTCTCTCTCTCTCTCTCTCTCTCTCTCTCTCTTTCTCCCTTCCTCTATGAAATCAATTAAAAAATTATTAAAAGAAAGAATGAGCTCTGGGTACAAGAATGAGCTTAGGAACACAGATGAACAGAAAAGAAATGAAGGAAATAACACATCACATTTCCAACTCATCTGGATAGCAGGACACATCCTCAGGTGGGTATGAGAAGATGGCCTCAAGACATGTGAAGAAATGTAATTAGAAGTTCATGAGGGCACTGAATGCCTCACTGTGCTAAATGCCAAATAAATTCCCCTCTAATCATGATTATTACAGGATTTATCTAATCTATTTCTTGTAGGAAATCAAGCTACTCAGAGGCATTTTTATCACATTTTTTCCTCCTAATAATCTCTGTTCCTGACAAAGAAGATTTTATTATCCCAGAGTATAGATAAGAAATTGAGGCAAAGAAGTAAAGTTAATTGCCCTAGGTCATAGAATTGGAATTACAGTATAACATTTCATCTTAGTGTGTACCACAGGAGTTTTGGAAGGGAGCATGCTGGAGTCACATTATGTCCTTTGAGAAAAGGCTGATTTACCTTAATCTCTGGCAGAAAGAAGATTAATTGTATTTTCCTTAGTGCATGTCAAAGACCTTGAGTAGACACTATAAATTCCACATGCTTATTCTAAGCCTTTTCCAAATACTTGGAAAGCCATGAATTGACCATTAGGAAGACGCTAGAAATTACCGTATTTTTTGGACCATAAGACGCACTTTTTTCCCCCCAGAAGTGGGGGGGAAAAGTCCCTGCGTCTTATGGTCCAAATATAGCCTACACATATACTTCAAAAAAAAAGTTTTTTTACTTGCCCGGCTCTGTGTGATCTCTGTGTACTTGCCCGGCTCTAAAATGGTTCTAAATGCTGCTGTTTACTTTACAGGGTTGATTACATGTGTGTATGACTGTGATGTTGGGTTTTAATACACATAAAATATTTTAGGACACTATTTGTTTCAGAATCTTTTTTTCTTCATTTCCCTTCTCTAAAAACTGGTGCGTCTTATGGTCCGGAGCGTCTTATGGTCCGAAAAATACGGTAACTTTCTTAAAAATTTAAAGCAAATATTTGTTTGCTAGAATCTCCAAGAAAAAGCAATCAATCAAGAAAGTTGTACAGTACAGCCATGCTATTCACCCAAGGCAAAAAACTATCCCAATAGGCATATATTGAGATGGTCAGCTCCTCTGCCCCCAGACCCCCACAGTCCATTCCCAGCCAACCTCCCTGTCTAGGGACTAGATAAACGTCAAGTGAAAGCATGCTTTTAACAAAGAAAGTCCAATGCAAACATTAATTATGGTTCTAATGATTTACATATTTCACCTAATTATTGAAAAAAAATCCATGTTCATAATAAAAACCTGGAAAATGAAGTTAGGCGAACCAAAATGAATCAAAAGCCCCCACAATGCCACAATCCAGCAAGAATCTTTTGTACCTGTTTACAATTGGATGTTTTCTGAGGCTCATTTCTCTGGTCAGGCCATGTGTAAGTCAGCCAAAAGCTGCAACCCTAAGTTCTATGCACAGTTTGCCTTTAAGTAAGTAGAGAAAATAGTGACTTATCTGTAGAAACTCTCTTTTATTTTCTTGGCACTTGTCCCATAAGAGACAAGACCACTACTTAATATACCTGGCAGTAAAAATAATGAATAAATAAATAAATAAATTCCTAATTGCTTCTTACTGGCTTGAAAAATTTATGCTACATTTCTAAAAATAAGTCACTTATCCAAACTAGCAAATATCAGGGACAAAAAGGATTGTGACTATTTCTTTTTACACACACATAGCTGAATGTCCTGCAGGACCTGATTTGTCCTTTCTCTTGGAGAAAAGAGACGCACATTCAGAACTCATACAAGAGCTGAGTGAAGGATAGATTAGTCATCAGCAAAAGGGGAGAGCAGTCAAATCTTTCCATATAAGCAAGCCAATGTTCCCAGGAGAGCACCACATTTCAATCCGTTTGTTTTTCCCATCCTTAGCAAAAAAAATTACGCCATTACCTTTTTGTTCATGGCCACGCCATCCTCGCAGTCGAGCACCGCACAATCTACATTCAGGGATGGAATCTTCTTTATTTTCTTTTCATCATTTCCAGGTACATACAGCACTGCCCTCCGGGGAATGTACTTGTGATTGGATGAGGAACTATAGCCACGCCTGGGCACATCGGCCGTCAGAGAAGCTTCCCTGCGGGAGACGTGATTGGGATTAGTCCAGAATAGAGTTTATTTACAAGTTTTTGAAAAACCTCACTTTAATTCAAAATTATAATAGAAAACATGGATACCCTGTTTTAATTATGGCAGGAGACAATCACACATAACAAGGAGGAAAACAATAATAACAGAAATAACCAAGAAACAAAATGTAATTTGGGCTGAGGTTTACTAATATATAACATTGTTTAGAGGCACAATTTTCTGAGAAAAGGAGTGTACTTATTTCTTCTTGGGAAAACACTTCTAGTATTAGTATGCTGTCCAGATATCCATAGAGAAAAAGGAAAGGCATATTTATATCCAAAAGTTCCTAAATAACAACACTATCAACAGTTATATGAAAATTAAAAAATAGAATAAAAACTATGTAAGCCCGAGTCTTTTCTAGTAGACAAATAAGTGATTCAAGTTCAATTTTAACAACAAAAGATAGTTGGCCACTTCTAGAGTAGAAAGGACAGTTAATGAGAAAAGACCATTACTAGCTCTGTAATTGCAGGCAATTTAATTACTAGAAACTTCAGAGTCTTCATTTATAGAAATACTCATTTTGCAAGATGTGAAGAGGATTAAGAAAGAGGAACTAATGCACAAGAAGCACTTAGCGAGAGCTTGGCAGATATTAGCTCCTTGATGCGTGGTGGGCGTAGCAAGAGTAGTAGCAGCTGCTGTTGTTCTTAATAGAGAAACTCTAGCTGTCAATAGCCCCCGCCTGCTCCTAGATACTTCGCTCTCCTTCCTTTTCCTACTGTGCTCAGTCTGGCCTCCTGAGGAAATAAGAGGAGTTGGCCAGAAGCTCTGATGGCTCACTGTAGCCCTTACCCTCCTCCTCCCCTGGTCCCTAGTTTGATCCTGGGAAAACCAAGTTTTTATCCCATAATCCTACCTAATAAAAGAGTAATATGCAAATTAACCACCACTCTGCTACACCTACAAGCCACACCCACCAGCCGATCAGAGCGAGTATGCAAATAAACCTAACCAAGATGGCTATAGCCACTGAGAGCAGGAAGGAGGCTTGGGTTTCCCAGGCAATGGAGGAAGCCAAGCTTTCCACCTGCCCTTGCTAGACTAAGCCTCTACGCCAGGCTACAAAGTTTCAATTGTAGAAGGTAAATAAATTCCAGATAACCGAACCTCCGCTTAGGTCGCCAGGGGGCGTGGCTGGCCTGCAAACCACCACAGGCCCCTCGCCCAGGCTGCCCCACACCCCAAGGGAACTCCCACCCTGATCCGGGACATCCTTCAGGGAAAATCAGCTTGTCCCCACTCATGCACCAGGCCTCTATCCTATCTAATAAAAGAGTAATATGCAGACTGACCATCACTCCAACACACAAGATGGCTGCCCCCATGTGGTCAAAGATCCTGCCCCCATGTGGACACATGATGGCCACTACAAGATGGTCAGCAGGGGAGGGCAGTTGGGAGGCACCAGGCCTACAACAGAGGGCAGTTGGAGGCAATCAACCCTGCAGGGGAGGGTAGTTAGGGGTGACCAGGCTGGCAGAGGAGGGAAGTTGGGGGGAAACAGGCTGGCAGGGGAGCAGTTAGACATTAATCGGGCTGGCATGGGAGTGGTTAGGGGGTGATCAGGCTGGCAGGCAGAAGCAGTTAGGGGCAATCAGGAAGGCAGGCAGACGAGCAGTTGGAAACCAGCAGTCCTGGATTGTGAGAGGGGCCCCAGATTGGAGAGGGTACATGCTGGGCTGAGGGACACCTTCCCCCACCCCCATGCACGAATTTTGTGCACCAGGCCTCTAGTCTTATATAATAAAAACTTAATATATAAATCAACTGACCGTTAGAACAACTGGAGGAATGACTGGCAGAATGACCGGTAGTTATGATGTACACTGACCACCAGGGGGCAGCTCCTCCACAGGGGGAGCACCGCCCAGCGGTGGTGGTGGGAGCCTCTCTCGCCTCCGCAGCAGCACTAAGGAACAGCAAGCAGGAGGGCAGTAAGGAGCAAGGGGTCCTGGACTGTGAGAGGGTGCAGACCGAGCTGAGGGACTCTCCCTCTCCCCCCACCCAGTGCACAAAATTTGATGAAGAAGTATATTATAAAGAAGGTGAAATCAGCTTTTAGAATCAGGAAAGGACTAGTTACATAATTTGAAGTGCTCAATGTAAAATCAAAATGTGGAGCCCCTTGTTCAAAATCTATTTGGAATTTCAAGATGGTGATAGAAGAACATCAAACTAAGCACCAGACTCTCCTAAGCCCAGTCACACACCAGGAAGCCGGCCTTACCCACAGACAGAGCTGAATGCCATGAAGACTCCAGGTAGGGAGAGGGTAAAACCCCAGCGAACTGGTAATGCCCTGTTTACTCTCCTGGATAACCAATAGCATCCTATCCCAAACCAGGTCGGCTTGACTCTTTACCAAAGGTCTATTTGGTAGTTACCTAAGTTAATGCTACCAACTATTTTGACTGGTTGTAGCATTTTGCCATGATTAGTGTGCCTTCCGATGATGTATCTCAAGAAAAACCCTATCTCTCTAGGGCCTACCGATGCTGTGTGGACCCCTCATTCCTTCATGCTGCCAACACTTATAAACTCTAAAATTCGAGTCTGTCTTATTTTTTCACAAATAAGCATTGTGCTATGTAAGGTTTGGTGAAATATAGGTGGATTTTTAAAGTGTACATGTTTTAGCAGACATTTTAATTAATATAAAATATTGGCCTGCTAATTAAGGATGCCTGAGATATTCGTCATCATTTTGCACTGAATTGAAATATCTGATTGAAATATCATTTTGATTGAAAATATCTGATTTGTCTTTTTCAAAAGGGAAGAAATATAATGATGTAGCAGCAACAATCACATTTCACTTATCATTCACACTGGAAAACAGAATTTTCAATATACATTTCCTTAAAAATAGCAAAAATGCTATTAAAAGAAATGGAAGTTTTATTTCCAAAAAAAGCTTGGTGTAAAGTCACTTCTCATTAGGATTTGTAGTAACCACATGTGTAACAACTATTGAGGAGCACATGAGACGTGGTTGGAAAGTTTGTAAGGAGAACATTCTGAGCAAAGGAACGTACTATGTGGAAGGCCACCAGTTTATCGTAATTCCCACTTAGGGAGACAGGGAAATGTTGAAGGTGGCGCCCCTAATTATTCCCTGACATTTCCAAACCAGTCTGTGCCTGTGCAGACTCCCGGGTGTTTACTGGAATCCTTATGCTTAATCTTTCGGGTGTCCTTGCTTAAAGGACATTTCAAACACGTGTGTGTCCCCAATATTATTTACCTTACTGATTGTATCTAAAAGATAAGCTTTATCTCAAACTGCTATTGTAATAAAAGGCTAACGAGGCAGGCAATCAAGGGAGCTCGGTCCCTTGAGCCAGGCAACCCCTTAGCTCTCTCTTTCACAGTGACACTGTGTTGGAGTCATCTGTTCATTGGTTGTTCAGGGGCTGCTGGTCAGCCCCGGCAAATAACCAATGTGAGGATCAGAGCAGCTGTAGTGTAAAGAGGGTCCTTCCTCACCTTTCCTTTCCACGTGTCTGACAGCTTGAATGCCCGGACATCTTTGTCCCAGCGGCAACTGACCTTCACTTGGAGAAGTTGAGATTTCCTCAGTGTGAAATAGCTGCTCAGCATCATTTTGGGTCCAGCCACTATGATCTCCAAACTTGTTGAATCTCAGATCCTGAGCCACCCAGACACGGCTGACATGTCATCTCTGGTATAACAAGTCAGACCACTGTCACATGTCATCTCTGGTATAACAAGTCAGACCACTGTCACTAAGGCAAATCACTCCTAGGATATTTATATGATGTATGATTTTTAAAACAGATGACCATTCAAACAAATATTCTGCCACTATTAAAAATGTTTCTGGTTTAAGAACAGCCCTAGCTAGTTTGGCTCAGTGGATGGAGCGTTGGCCTGTGAACTAAAGGGTTCCAGGTTCGATTCCCATCAAGGGCATATGCCTGGGCTGTGGGCTCAGTCCCTGATGGGGGGTGTGCAGGAGGCAGCCAATCAGTGATTCTCTCGTTGATGTTTCTGTATCTCTCTCTCCCTCTTCCTTCCTTTCAGAAATCAATAAAAATATATTTTTAAAAATTAAAAAATACAACAATAAAATGTTTCTGGTTTCCCAAAGTCTGCTGAAATCATGAAAATAATGTTTTGCTCATCTCTTCCCCTGCTCAAAACCTGTCAACAACTCCCCATGACCTACCTGGTGAAGTTCAGTCTCAGTTGATATTCCTTTCCTCAGTTTATATCCCACTATTCCCATGAAGTAACTATCCACCCAAGAAAAATAAAATTGTGATGTCTCCACAATATGACATGTTCATTGTTTCCACTGTACCTTTGCTTCTGATGAAAAAGTTTCCCCTCTCAGTTTATTTGAACCTTATGAATCCTTCAAGCTCAGTTCAAGGTCTCCCTGATCCCTAAGCTTTTCTTGACTATTCATCTTTAAACTCCCTTGTCTTTAAATCACTGTCATAACCAAAGCAGAACCAGCAAAGGATTGGTTCTGCTATCAAGACTGAAGTTAATCAAGGCAGCACAAGCTTTCTGAAGAGCCAACTGATGACACCAATGAGGAGACTTTAAAAAAAGAGAGAGATTTTAAAAGGTTTTGCTCCTTGACACAGTAACTTCAAATACTTTGACATAAATTCTTTTGTGAATTGTTATAGACTGAATGTTTGTGCCTCTCTCCCCAAATTCATATGTTGAAACCTAATCTCCAATGGGATGGTATCAGGACATGGGGCCTTAGGGAGATGATTAATCATGAGGGTGAAGCCCTCATGAACAGGATTAGTGCCCTTATAGAGGAGACCACAGATTGTTTTCTTGCCCCTTACACCATGTGAGGACACAGCAAAAAGGTCTCAAATGGGAGCATAATGTAGTGGAAAGTGTTTGGATGAATTATATGACATTGCTGATTTCTAACAATTTTTGACCTGC